GCGAATGTGTGTGCCTAAGAAAGGAAATATTTGATCAGCAATATATTACACTCAACAGCTATTCAAATAATTTATGAAAGCGAAACATAAACCAAAACACATTACCTTCAAGATTGTTTTCCAAACCTCACCGGATGCAGTGACCACGTTACTTGTTTCATCGTATTCGACCCCCGGGAGTGATAACATGTAGCCGAAATTTGTGTGCCTAGTCTTTAGGATCCCCAATTTCTTACCAATGTACTTGAGTGAGAAAAACTCGCCGTGTTTTTTTTTTATCACAATTTGTACCATGAGGAGTGAGGAATTGTTGTCATTTCCAAAAACGAAGTTGCCGACCCGTGCCTCGTATGCCAAAAATTGTATGAATGTGCTATCGATCTTTTGATCCTAGTTTAACTCGTACAAGAAGTCTTCTTGGCGGAAAATTAATGACTTCTTAGGAGCCATTTTTTAGTAGATTTTCTTAGGAATATTGATGCTACGGTCGAATGGTTGAGTAAATTCCTTTGGGCTGGTCACTTAAATAGAGTAGTGACTACATGAATAAGAGACCCTTTATCACTATGAAATCATATACCAAAAGCAATAATTGAAAGTAAGTAGGTGAAAATCTTATCGGATCCATTTTTGACATAATATTCTCTCATTTCATTGATGTGGTTGATAGACACATGATGGGATGGGAGAGGGAAGAGGTAAAAAGTGCAGCAAACATATTTTTCTTGATTTTTTAAGACAAAATTGTGTATAGTAATTTAATATAATACAATTTTGATATTGTAAATAATGCATAAAGTGTTTTAAAAGAATTTACAGAGTTCTTCCTTTACCCATCTCCTGCAACCTCGATAGTGGAAAAAGTGCTGCAATTATATTATTCTTGTTTAGAATGAAGACAAGCTTGTATGCAATTTAATATAATATAATATTACTATTATAAATAATGCATAAAGTACTGTTGTAAAATAATTTACACATTTCTTCCTTTACTCCTCTCATGCAAGCTCTGCTAGAGGAAAAAGTGCTGCAATTATATTATTATTGTTTTGAATGAAGACAAGCTTGTATTTAATTTAATATAATATTATATTACTATTGTTAACAATGCAAAAATATTTAAAAGACTTTATACATTTCTTCCTTTACTCCTCTCCTGCAAGCTCGAATTGTGGATTTACAGTGTATAAAATTTGAAATTCAAAATTCACTAGCTAATTTTCTGTATTTGTGGCATAAAACTGCTAAAACAAAAAAAATTAACATTATTAACATAAGTGATTATGTTAAGAATATTAATGAACATAGGGGTGGAAATAACAACAATTTTTTACTTCAAACTTCCGACGAACAACGTCAATACATAAAAGAATTGTAAAATGGGGTGTTGTCTAAAAAGGGGTGGTATTGTAATTATCTGAAGATGTTAGGGCTGATTTTATAATTAACGGAGAATGTGAAGAAATAATGGATGCAGCAAAGCAATATTTTACAAAGTGTCAGGTGTATTATATAATAATAAAAAGGCCTTGAAAGTGGTGAAAATGTATTTATCCAAAAATGTGAGGGCTGATTTTATAATTACAGTAAAATGGGAGGGAAAAATGGGTGGTGCAAGCAGTATTTTAAATATTGTCTGGTGTATAATATAATAATAAAAAGGGCTTGTGAAGGGTGGAAATGTAATTATCCGAAAATGTTAGGGCTGATTTTATAATTAAAGGAAAATGGGAGGAAAATAATGGGTGCAGCAAGCAATGTTTTAAGAATGATTGGGGGTAATATAATAATAAAAAGGGCTTGGATGGTGCGGAAATGTAATTATCCAAAAATGTTAGGGCTGATTTTATAATTAAAGGAAATGAGAGGAAAAGAATGGGTGCAGCAAGCAATATTTTAAAAATTACTGGGGGTAATATAATAATAAAAAGGGCTTATAAGTACGGGTGAGTTCGGGACGGAATTTCGGGAATTCGGGATTTTCGGGATCGGGATTTCGGGATTCGGGATAAAAATTTAAAATCTCAATCCCGTCCCATACTATTAAATCCTGGTATATCTGTATCCCTAAATATTTCGAAAATTCGAGATTGAGATAGGAAAAGCCCATATTTTGACTAAAAACTTAGAAATATTGTATTTTTTTTTTCCATTAGTATTAATTTTTACACTAAACCAACTTAATATATTATATACATACTATTGTTCTTGCACTATTTATTTTTACCACAAAACTTGGAACAAATAAAATTTAAAAATAAGTTGAAACGATATATTATATTGTATTTCTCATCTCCTGGACAATATATATATATATATATATATAATAATAAAAAAGCCTTGCAAGGGGTGATAATGTAATTAACCAAATTATCTCACCCAATCCTCCCAACCATTCCTGAGTTTGCCTCAGATTCAATCCCACATATCCGTATCCAACCAACCAAACCCGAGATACCATCCATATTTTACTAATTCATACAGTGTAATTTCCCTATGAAGCCCCAATTTATCCCATCCCACCCCATCCCATCAACGAAAAGTGGCCTAATTCCATGATCCATACCCGGGCCCAAGTGCAATCCAACACCCGCTTGGGCTGAACCAAAGCCGAGATCCGAGTGGATTAGAGGAACTATCCACCCGGATCAGCCCAACTAAAATGGGCCTTAGAAGTTAGAACCGTTAAATTTGTAAAATGTGAAATTGTAAATTACACACCCACACTTGAGGTATGCTTAAATAACTTTAAGATCCATGTGGTATTGATAATTACACTCACCCCTCTGAAACATAGTTAGAAGCTCTAATGAGATAATGCATTGGATGCGTTATTCCGATAGAGTTCTAACGGACTGTTACTTTAGCTAGTGGTGGAGACAAATAGAGTTAGGGGTGACAGGATTCCCCCAACATTTCTTAAATCACCCATAACTCTTGGTTGTCTCTAGCACTTCGTGGAACTAATAGTCCGTTAGAACTCTATTGTAATAACGTATCCAATGAATTATCCCATTAGAGTTTATAACTACGTTTCAGGAGGTTAGTGTAATTATCGATGCCACACAGGAACCTTAAAGTTATTTTAGCATACCTCAGGGGTGTTGATGTAATTTAACCAATGTGAAAAGATGCAGAAAATTCCAATTTAGTGGTTAAAGTAAGTTTTGAATATATTTCTTTATTTTAATAGAAATCATAAAATTTAGGGACTGAGTTGAAACATTTGAAAACTGAAGTGATGAAATCAGAACAAATATAAAATTGTCGGCGTCACCAGCCCTAAATTCCATTTCCTCCGCCGCGACGAACACCGCCAGAAGCCGTTCGATCTGCGTTCCGTCCGATAATCGCCGCCAGCATATATTGCCGTTCCGGCTGATAAATCGCTTCTTTTAGATTTTAGAACACGCCAGCCGCTATTGACTGAACTTTGTCGGCGGTGGCCTCCGTTCCGGCCGCTATAACGGCATTCCGGTGAACTATGAGAGGAACTCACCGTTTATTTTCTTATGTTAAAACCCCTCTTCATCAACCCCCCTTTTTATCCAGGTAATTATTTATTTATTTATTTTGAATTTTTTTTGCACTCTTATATGAATGTTAGGTACATCTTCTTGTTATTGTTATTTGTTACATATAAATTTATTTTGAATATATTTTTTTTTCAAGAAAGGCACCTGCTTGATGCCGAGGGTTCGATTTCTTCGTTTGGTGGAAGCCATAGAAATATATACTCGCGGGTAGTTGGGTTCGAATGTCGGGGTTTACTGTCGAATAATCGATCGTGTTCGATCAATTTCATGCGGCAATATTCTACTCATAATGCTGCTAAAAATATATACTCGCGAACATTTGGGTTCGTGTGTCGGGGTTTAATCTCGAATAATGGATCGTGTTCGGTCAATTTTGGGCGGCGATACTCGACTCATAATAATGCTGCTGCTGCTAGTATGGAAAAGAAATCGAACAAGATGCTTTTATACTTGACCGGATTGGTATTTGCTATGGTGGGGTGTAGTTATGCTGCGGTTCCTCTGTATCGGAGATTTTGTCAAGCTACTGGTTATGGGGGCACTGTTCAGCGTCGAGAGGTGAAATGTTTTTTTTTTCACTTATTTTTTCGTCTGTTATTATATATTCTTTGTTTATAAATTTCGTGATGGAATGCGTGTTGATCTTTTTGCCAGAGTGTTGAAGAAAAGATTGCTCGTCATTCGAAGGATGGAACTGTCGCGTCTAGGTTTGTGAATATCTTATCTCGATAATTTGCTAGTCGATTTCTTTGAATAGGATATAGACATTGAGAACTTGGATTGAAATGCGTGCACTTAATGAATTTTTAGTCGTTCTTGCTACAAAGTGACTTAAGCAAAATCTTGAAGATGCATACACACATGCATATATATATGTCTGTGTGTGTATGCGTGTGTGTGTGTGGAATAAGATAATTTTTTGTTCCTTTGACTTTTTTTGTTTTTCCTATCTGCATCGTGGATTTTCTACAGAGTTTTCATTTCGTTTCTTATGATTAAGACCATCGTTTTCTGGGACAGTTGCTACATCATATGTTAAGTCTTCCCTTATTTTCACAATCGTATTTGTTTCTTGAATTTTAATTTGAAAATTGAATAAGGCGAGGACATATTATTTACTACTTGGAATCTTCTGTATAGCACGTTCCACGATCAATGTAGATAGTTATGGTTCAAGCTCGACAAAATTTTTGTTTTGTATGACACACATTATTGCATGTGTTTACAGGGAGATTGTTGTGCAGTTCAATGCTGACGTGGCAGATGGGATGCCGTGGAAGTTTGTTCCCACGCAGAGAGAGGTGATCAAGTAGAATTATGCATGTTTTGCCTTGTGCTCAAATAGAATTATACTCATTTGTCGTAATCGAGTGCGCTAATAACTTATAGGTAAGGGTAAAGCCAGGGGAGAGTGCGCTTGCTTTTTACACTGCTGAAAATAAAAGTGCAGCTCCGATAACTGGCGTATCGACTTATAATGTTACTCCGATGAAGGTATGGATATTGCTATTTTCTATAATAAACTCCCTGGCAATTCTTTTCTTTTTCTCCAAAATATACGAGTCTCGATGTTTTTTTAGATCCCGATCTTTTTGAGGCATGGTGTCAGATATTCTGCTAGTGATTTCCTAAACAAGACAGTTATCTGAATTTGTTTGTTGTATTTCAACAACTTTGCTCCCTAATGGAATACGAAAATATGTATTAAGTGTACAAGAATTTGTTATTACGTTTACGTAACCTCGTCAAATGCTTTAATATCTTTGTCTAGTACCTGATTGGTAGTGGTTGATTTGGAATTTTATCTCGTTTTATCCATTTTCAGGCAGCAGTTTACTTCAATAAAATACAATGTTTCTGCTTTGAAGAGCAAAGACTTCTCCCAGGCGAACAGATTGACATGCCGGTATGTAAATTTCCTATTCTCAGTGCGTCGTCAAATGTTTTGCTTGAGGATTTTTTTTATTTTTAACGATGAAAAAATATATGTGTGTAGGTGTTCTTTTACATCGACCCCGAGTTTGAAACAGATCCGAAAATGGAGGGTATCAACAACTTGATTCTTTCATACACATTCTTCAAGGTTTCCGAAGAGAAGTAGTGCTTCCTGCTCGGTTCACTTTTTGATTCTTGGAAGAAAAAGCATTTTCAACTACATTTTATTCCAATAGCCCAATATATATCATATGGAAATAGACGATGTTCTTGCTCTCTTTCTAGGACTTCGTCTCTCCAACCAAACACCCCAAATTTTGAGTTCGTTCCATCATTTGGTGAAATAATGTCGGTAAAAACATTAATTCTCTATATTTACGTGTATTTAGTGGAATGGCCAGATATTGTTAATAAACTTTCAAGAAAATATATTTTTTGAATTCGTGTTTATTATGTTGTTGCATTTTCGAAAGTTTGAATGGGGGAAGAGGAATTAAATTTGTATGTCCATTTTGGTTGAATACACAGGGAGAGGCAAATAAATAACTAAACACTAAATTTGTAGACAGGGTTTTTGAAAGTTTGTCTGAAGGAATTTTGTAATGGGTAATTCAGATTTTGTGATATAGAAAACACTTGTTAAAAATTAAATTAAATTTAAATAACAAAAGAAAAACAGTCTTAATTTTAAAAGTTTCAGGGTAGATAACGGCCACTCCATGAGGCGAGCCAAATTACGAAGAAAAAAAATCCCTTCACAACCACCCCTAAACTATGAATCTTCTTACACGTCCAACCCGTTGCAGAGTCAAATTTAGTGATATCTTCTAGATTATGTTGAATATTCTCTAATATTTACCCGTTTTATCTCATACATTTTAAAACATTAAATTGTGGTGCATCAGAAACTTGCATTTATACACAGAACGAGTACGAACTAGAGAACATTCCACGTAATTTAAAAGGTTATATTGAATTTAACACGATAAAGGTGGACGTATAAGAAGATTCATAGTTAAGAGGGTGACTGTAATTACTCAAACGTGAGGGGTTTTTTGGTAATTTGACGTTACCTCAGGGTGGCCGTAATTTACCAAAAGCGGCATTTTCTACTCAAATACGCCACTGGAAATACGCAACACCCGCCGGAATGCACTGATCAAATTTGTTAACCTCTTTCATATCTTTTCATACAAAATCTTTTAGAAAAAAAAGAAAAATTGAAACTATAGCAAATAACGAAAACCATACACTATTATTTGATATAAGTTTAGACAGTAAACTACTTCTTTTGCTCAGAAATGCTTCCACAGTGGAGATTTTCCTACAGAATACTGCCATTTTCAATACCTTTGTCATGCCACTTTACCTATCGTACGATACACCGCCATTCTCACAAATCAACAATATTCTTCTTCTGTAAACATAAGCTTAAAACTAGTAAGTCTCAAGACTTAATAATAGGTTAAAATTTGAAAAAGGTAATCGAGGAAAACATATATTATATACCTGTCAAATCCCATTTCTCATTCGCACTTTATCGAGCGGTATATGTGGCGAACAAAGAATAAAGAGGCACGGAAACCTACAGCTCCGAGCATTAGGAAGAAAGCATAGCACACAGAAGCCATGTACCCAAAGAAGAATGAGGTCTGCATAAAGCCCGACATATCCGACCGTGCATAGTAGTAATACAGACAGTAGCCGTAAATGAACAAGCCCGTTGATCCACCACAAAGGAAAGACCTGATTTGATAGGGACAAAAATTCAAAGAGTTCAAATGTTAAGCAGCCACAAAAAGTAGAACATAATCTACTTATTTATTCATTGTTAGCCAATAAATTTTACATGGAGGAACTTCAAACACTGAAAAGTAAGACCAAATTATTCAGTTACATATCTAAAACACTCTGTTACGGTTTGTTGGTCGGGGACCTCAATGAAGTTTAAGAAGTGCTCTTAACATGTCAACACCTAAAATGATTTCAAATGTCCGGAAATAGTTTGTCCAAATAACAGAGAGATTTTGACCAGGAGAGAAGAAATAAACAACTATGTCATCAAGTGACATAACACATCAGAATTGTTATAAAAAGGCAAAACAAGTAGCTAAGGTTTTCCTTCCCATGCGAGAAATGGAGAGAACTAAAACCACTTCCCATTAGCAACAATACACGCATACCCCTCTGCGTCCCCCATGGAGGGGGGAAAAGGAAGATGACAAGTAAATAAAAAAACTGAACACAAGAGACAGCTCACAAGGGGGATAAAGCATCATCAAGAATGAATACACCACATATTTGGCATCTCTAATGTTTAAGCAAATTCAACATGAAAACATACCTCCACCACCATTCATGATCTTCAGCAGCAAGTTGGAAGTATGTCAACGCCACAGTAATAAATGCAGTGACAATCAGGAGGATAATGAAGACAATGAATAAAATACTGTAAATGGTGTAAATCCTGTGACCCCAGACACTGGCAAATATGTAGTAAAGTTCAATATAGATGGCACTGAATGGCAAGAAGCCGGCCATAGCCATCTGAGGCACAGTTGAACGGTACCAAGGGAGCGGCGGAATCTCTCTAGGATATTTTGTGGTACGAACAGGAGCTTGAAACTCTGCCTTACTGTTCTTTCCTGCAATCCCTCCCAACACTAATAAAGGTGACGTCACAAGAGCCCATATCAGAAAAATCACCACAATGGTACCAAATGGGAGAGCGGCAGTTGCATGATAAGCAATGGCAACAGTGTTTAGGAAGCAGAATGTGAGAAAAAGTGGCCCACAGAACAGGCCTCCAGTTAGTAATAAATTCCGGACCTGTAAAGAGAGAACGTAATCTAAGATCAGTAACAGGTCAGGCAGGCAAATATGTACACACGTAAACTAAAAGATATATAATAGATTGCTGCTGGTTAACTTGTCTCGTTTATGTTGGCAATATTCATACTAATCCAGCACTGGCCTGGCAGAAACTCAAGAGTTCAACTCATTTTTAAAATCAAAGTTTCATAACAAAGATTGGGAAGACAACTGAAGATAATAACAAAGAAAAACTAAGTCTTCTCAAAGCTTAAAAAGCTTCACAGTAAATGAAATCTCTGCAACTTGTCTCCTCAGCTTCATTGACCAAATAGTATCCAGAAAACATCACATTTAAAAAGAAGAAATCCATCTTAAAACAGGAAATCCAGAGAACTTTTACAGAACATAAACATATGTGGCAATTCAAGATGAAACTAAAGAAATGGTGTTTGGCGCAAATTTACTAACCCAATTTGTCCCCTCTAACTGGCAATAGAAAGCGGCCGCTGTATAGCCTGCAATGCCAGACGTAAGAGCATATATGACCACCAGTGCAGTAAAAAGAGCTCCACGGTTGTAAGGATAAAATACACCAACAAGAGCAAGTAAGAATATAAAAGTCGCCCTGGAAAAAGGAAAATTTCAATAAAGTCAATTTATCTCCAATAAAGAAAATATTCCACAATCCAGTAACCATGAGTACATTTTGCCGAGAAAATGCAACCTCTAAAGACCTACTTACAGGGTAAATAGCTGAGTGCCACTTCCAAGAGCAGCAGCAAACAAAGACTTGTACTTCGGGAACCTGAAAACATCACCATGAATGTATTTCCACCCAGTTTCTTCTTGGTCATCTGCTGCCTCCTCGTCATGGGCATATCTTTGGTGAAACAAGAAAATTATTGTTAAATACTTTGCAGTATCATCGTTTTCCTAAATGTTGAGGAATGAAAAGACTATCTTACTTGACAAAATCATTTTTTAGCACACGCATCAAAATCGTAGCAAGAAACCCAGTGAGGAGGAGAACAGTCACGCATGAATTGATAATTGAAAACCAATGGATCTCTAAGTGGCGAGGTAGTGAAGAAGAATGAGAGTACTTCTCCATCCTCTTCTCAAAAGCAATATTAGTCTCTTTCCATTTGGCAGAGTACACGAACTCCACATCAACTTCCTTATCTTCAGTAAGGTCTACAAGAGCACTGGGGTCTGTGCGTGCATTGATCTCAATCACACGATCCTTGTTATAAAATATTTCGAAATGGAGATGCTTAAATAGGTAATATTTGTACTCGCTGGGATCAGCTTTGCCTTCCTTGTCAACCTTTCCGAGGAAACCCCATATGGGCAAGTCATCATAGTACATTTGAAAATAGTAGTCTTTTGCTACCGCACTTCGAAACACAGCAACTTCTTCCTTTGACAGCTGCTTTTTACAAATGACTTCTGACTCTCTGTCAGCCAGAAAGTCAAGCTTGTATGGAGCACTGACCAAACGATCTCCATTTAGCACTTCACCAAGAGCTTCACTTTTATCTTTAACATCACCTGTTAGCACGAAATGTTAGCAAAAATAAGGAATTTGACATGAAAGAAAAAAAGCAAAGGAGAATAAGATTTACCTGGAGAACAAAATGGGAGATCAAAGTAACGGTATGTTTCGCTGCAGATTAGAACAAATAACAGGATATGAGCATAACAAAAGGAAATTAATAGGTGATAATGCTAACATTTTGAAACAAATATATGCAATACATAATCATACATAAAATAAAATTGCATGCATATTGCAAAAATAAAGCAGTTGATCACCTCAGAGAAACCTTACTCGAGAATACATCATGAAAAGCTACCTTACTGCTTTTAAGGCCAACATCCGTGTGTGTTTGCCAATGTTTTTTGTTTAAAACCAGGTTCCAGCCAAATTTTTAACTAAAATTGAGGACTTAAATTTTTTTAAGGTGGAGTTGTGGCATTCATCAAAAAACTAAATGGGATAATTATACAAGGAATAATCACTTCATTACTCACAATGCTTTTGATTCTTCCATATTTGCTTCTTTTTTTTTTTATTTTGGTTTTCTAACGCTAGAAGGGAAATGAATTGAACACAGTCATTGAAATCCTCTTCCATAAAAAAAAAGTGACTGGCTTAATACCAGTTAACAACCATGAATTTTCCACTTCAACCTTACTTATTTCAAGAAAACCCCCTTCAACAGTATCAAGATTAAGCTGTATTGTCTGCCATAGATAAATGGCATGTCCTAAACTACACTCAACCCTAGAAGTTTACAAATTGCATTTAGTACCGTACACGAGTTAGATTTGTACCATAGCCACCATTTTTTTAGCATGTAAAATCAAAGCCAAAACTCACTCCCTTCAATTCTGGTCTTGCTTAACAGTGTCCATCAACAAGGAGAAATTATCTCAATCATCCTCAAATTTCACAAACCAATTAATCACCAATCGATCAAAATTACAGCAATAACAACCAAATCAACAGCATACAAGAATCAGCCAATATGCAATTAAGCCCTAGCAATCAAATCCCCAACCAAAATTTCACCAATGCAGTATCTAGAGTCATATACAATAAGAACATTCGAAGGAAAAATCACGAAAAGGAGAGGAATATTTACCTAGGGTTGTGAAAAGGGCCGACCTTGTTTGCATACAGCGGCACCGGATCGCCGACTTTGTACTTGTGATCTGATCCGTCGGATCTCGCCGCCGGAAAAGCAGTGCAAAGGAGCAGCAAAACGACGGCGCGCCACTCTCCTCCTCTCGCCATTTTTGGTTCACAAAACACCGTAAAGAGTCGCAGAGTGAAATGGGTTTATAATTCAGTGGACCTGAAATATTACAGTTTTAGAAAGAGGAGAGGAATTTTAGAGAGAGAAAGTAGCACAGATCTCGATCTCATTTAATAAGATGGATCAATTTTGAAGGTAACTAAGGCCACGCGCGGTTAGGAGAGAGTGGGATACAAATAGTTGTAATTAGGCACGTCCATTATGATTTTAAGAATTAAGACTAATCACCTACAGCCTAGTTAGGTGTTTGCCACTTTAACCACTAATACCATAAACCAAGTGATGGGGGCCCTGGGGGCGAGGGATTTCGCCTTTTGGTGCAAGTATTTACGATCCACCGGAAAGTGTTTTAAAAATGGGGAAAATGATTATCTAAATATTTAGCAATAACAATTATAATAAGAAAAATATATTATATATTATAATTGTATTTATTAGTGATATTTTTTTTTTAGGGAAAACCTTGATATATTAATCAATTGCCAAATTGGCTAAATACGAAGGTAAATTGGCTCCTTCAGTATAGGTGGAAAAATGCAACGAAGCTAAATTATGCGCTAATCGATTATATAAGCGCTTGACAAAATGAACATATTTAAAAAAAAAAACACAAAAAAAATATTTTAATAAAAATAAAAGGGACAAAAGAACTCTTTCAAAAACTACTTTATTATCAAGTTATTTGAAAATTACATTTTCTTTCAAATATTTCTAACAAATATTTTTACCAATTATAATAAAAGATCTATCAATCGAATGAATTAGTGAGAACACTTTTTTTTTTTTTGAACTAGTTTTTTTTTGCAATTTGTACGCTCGAAATTATGTTGGAGATAGAAGAAAATAACAATTTAGTATATTTTCCGCACCCTATAAATAAAAAACCAATAAAAATGAAATTATCCTCGTTAAGTTTTAAATATTCAATTCAGAGTACATTGTGAATAATTTATTGTGTACGATGGTGCAAAGTATTATTGTTTTATTTTAAAGGTGCAAAGTGCCATAATACTATATTTTACAGGTGAAAAGTGTCATAATACGATATTTTAAGGATGCAAAATTGAATTAAACCAGTAATTAAGCAAGCTCTGAAATTTGTACATGATCGTCTAAAATTATTCATGATTATTTCTATTTTTATTTTCTTTTTGTAAAGATATAGTTCAATTGCAACAAAGTCAATCATCAAGTGACCAATTGATCGACATTTATTTATTATATTATTAAGGGTAGAATTATGTTCTTATGTTTGAATTATTATGAAGAGCATAATAATATAATTGTATATTATGAAGGATATAATTATATATATAAAAAGTAAAAGGTAAATAGCACTTAACCCCTTGTGGTTTGGACATTTTGCACATGACATATGGTATGAAATTAGGCACATAACCTTCTTGTGGTTTGTACATTTTGTACATTTTGCACATGACTCTCCTTATGGTATGAAATTAGGCACATAACCCCCTTGTGTTTTTTTTTAATTTTACAACACAAAAGGTATATAATACTAGTTATTGGACGATTGACAATTTATTTAAGTTTAGAAACCAATTTGAAAAATCTCATATGCTACAAATCAAATATAAAAGGACTAAAATCGATATAAAATTATGAACTATCAATTTCTTTATTCAATTATAATTCGGTAAAATAATTCTACATATTTCAAAGCTTTAAGATTAATAACTTTAATATTATTATTAATCATGACTGTTATTTACTATTTTCTATATAATATATTATATTATAGTTGTTATTGAATTTTATTTTTTTAAGAAACAAAGTATTTATGGTAATTTAGTCTTTTCCAGTTTTCTATTCAAGGGGGTATGTGCTTAATTTCATACTATAAGGGGGTCATATGCAAAATGTCAAAACCACAAGGGGGTTATGTGCCTAATTTCATACCATAAGGGGGTCATGTACAAAATGACAACACCACAAGGGAATTATGTGCCCAATTTCATACCATAAGGGGTCATGTGCAAAATATTCAAACCAAAGGAGAATTAAATAAGTGCTATTTACTCAAAAAAAAAAAAAAAAAAAACTAAAATACGAAAATGATCAAAATTTAGATATCAACAATTGTGAAAATCAACCCCTTCGAAGAATAAATATCTTACAATTACACCCTTGGGGTATTTGGTGTTAAAATAATATATAAGTAGGACACGTAAAAGAGATGTGATAAACGTCGTTCGAGTTTTAATAATACCGTTTCGATCATTTTTTATTCTAAATTTTGCAAAACCCGAAAATAAGATTTATGGTATTTTGAGTTAGTTTTCTAATCCAACTTGAATCACCAAAATTGGATGTCAGACGAGAAGATATACATGAATCAATGGATATTGCTCACAACTTTAATGTATTTAATGTATTGAGGTATCTAAAATTCAAAATGTGACTCATTCATGCATAACTTTGTCCCACGGCATCTAATCTAGCGGATTGAAGTTGAATTAGAAAACTAACCCAAAGGACTACAGTTTTCGTGTTTCGAATTTTACTAAAATCAAAATATAAATATGTCAAAATCAGGTTCGAAGTCAAAACGGTATTAGTAAAATTGAAACAACATTTAATATTTCATCACATAAAATTGGTAAACTTGGAACATTTTAGAGGATATTTTACAGAGCTAACCGATTTTGTTAATTTTAACAGGAAATTAGATACTGCAATTGGTTATTTATAATGGGTGGATTTGAATCGTAGATCACACATAATCACACACACACCCATGTGTATGTGTGCTTAGTGGATAATTATTTAATCAAGTCTACGGTTCAAATCCACACAATGTAAATAATCAGATGTAACATCCAACTCTCCATTTTAACTCCGTAAAGGAGTAATATATAAAAGACGGAGATATACTTCAGGAAATTGATGTAATTATGAAAACTAAAGGGGTTTATTTCGTAATTACACCTTACCTGAAGGGGGTGGTTGTAATTTAACCCAACTTATTAATGTAGGATTATTTTCTTTTTTCGCTCTATTGCCCAAATTCGGCCTAGGGCTCGCGCAGTAAAGCTCGCCATATTTTCTCTCCAATTCGTTGATTCAAGGTAAGAAACCCCTTCCAAATTCTCGTTATTCTTCGATTAATTGCTTCCTGGGTTTTTATTCAATTGAACAGTACGCACAATTACAACCAAATTATTGTTTGATGTTCAATTGAACAGTACGCACAATTAACCTTTTGCTATATATTAACTAATAAAAAGCAAAAAAAAAAAAAAACTTTTGTATCATGAACTCGAATTTTTGAGCTTTAGCATGGAATTAGGGGCTAGTTAAGTTTTAGGCTTTATGTATTTTTTATGGGTTTTTTTTTTAATTAGTCTGAAGCGTTTTGTTAATTTTGAGGATTTTGAATGAGAATTAATGGGGAAAGTTTCACAATTTGAATTTTTAAACAATTTCTATGGACTTTTTTTTTTTTTTTTGAAATAGTTTTAGTAAATGTCTTTTGACCTGAATCTGTACCGAATGAGGTTTCTTTTTATTTAATTTTTTTTTTAAATTTATGTAGGTAAATATATATTTTTGTTTCCCAGTCTTAATTTTCGGTTTTTAGTTTGTATTCGAGATTTCAGATGATCGACTGTTCATTTGTTTTGGGTCAGGGTACCGGTTGATGAACGATGGCTGAAATAAAGTCATCCGGTAGATCGATTGACCAATTGCTGGAGAAGGTGCTATGCATGAATATACTTTCGTCCGAATATTTTCGAGACCTTTTGAGATTGAAAACCTACCATGAAGTAATTGACGAGATTTACGTCACCGTCACGCACGTGGAGCCATGGATGACTGGCAACTGTCGAGGGCCCTCGACTGCGTTTTGCCTTCTCTACAAATTCTTTACCATGAAACTTACCGTCAAACAAATGCATGGCCTTTTGAAGCACCCCGATTCTCCTTACATCAGAGCGGTAAGTAGAGTTCGTGTCGAAACATTTTTTTACTTAGCGCGACTTTGAAAAATACTATGTATTGTGAGGATTAAAAAATTTGGTGCTTTTGCGACTTTTGTGGTTCCGTATTTAATCATTTATAAGCTATGTTACATAGACACGGGAACAGGGATACGGCGACACGCAGACACGGAAAGTAGGACACGGGAACGTGGGGGGGGATACGTGTAAATATTAAAAAAGTTTTTTTTTTGCTTTTTTACAAGATTAAAATTTACACACACACACACACACACACACATATATATATATATATATATATATTATTATTAGTTTTCGTCCAACGTAGGCAGAATAGTTGGAAAGAGAAGAATAATACTGCAGTAGGGCACAACAGAAGTAGAATAGGTTTGGGCTTTTTCAGAAAAAAACCTTTTTTTCCTTCTTTGACACGCGTGTCAATTTTGGATACCCGTGTCCAAGTATTTAAATATTACAGATAAAACGTATCTGACACGGGGAAACTTGTCCCTTTAGCCGTATCTGTGTAACAGAGTTTATAAGGTGTTGAGTTAGAACTGTAAACAGTTATAGAACTATTACGTGAAAATACTATGAAGTGTGGACTCCGTGATTGTGAATAGTAAGTCGAATAAGCTTAGATTGCATTGTGGTGGAAGGAATTGGATTTTTTTAAGCGAAGAATTTGAAATAACTTATAAACTTAATTGGAAACGCGCCATAATAATTTAAAAATAGCTGAAGTTAGGATTTCGGAGATTTAAAATTTCATTGTATTATGAGATCTTCAGAAAAAAAGTTCACTAGATTGTTATTATGCATTTGATCCTTGGCCTCATAAACTTTATAAATGTAACAATTTTTTTTTTATTTTTTTTTTAATATATTTCTTTTCCATTTGCTGTTGTATAACCTATGTTTTTTGGCATGAGAATGACGATTATGTACTTGTCTTTTTCAGATTGGATTTCTCTACTTAAGGTACGTTGCAGATCCAAAGACTTTATGGAGTTGGTATGAACCATACCTAAAAGATGATGAGGTATGAAGAAGGTGACTTTTTCCCGTGTATTTCTTTCTTCTCATTCAGTAATTTATATGACGTAGTTTTCAAATTTTTTATCGTGTAATTTTTTAGTAACTATAATATATTAAGAATTTGTCCGTGTTACTTTGTGAATCATAATGGATATCTGTCGGTGTAGTAATACCAAATTGAAATTAGACTAATACATGCTAGACGGTTTTTGTTAATAGCAACTAGTTAATAAGCAGTGCATAATACCATTTATCGACTAGGGAATTACGGCATCTTTTTCTTGTATCAATCGGGATTTAATTGGAAATTCCGAGACGTTCTTCCAATTTTAATGACTTTATAATCGTTTATTGCAATGAATTGGTGATTTTTCTATGTGGACAAAATCTCTTCCGTATGATTCGGGATTCTTCTGTTTTGTTTCTGACACCTGATGGCTCAGGTGGAGCGATTTTACGATTCCTCAGTGGTGCGTCAGCATGATTCTTGTTCAGGTGACCATGTTCGGAAAAAAAAAGTCTCATTAGTTTTCAGGATTTAATATGTATGAAATATCTGGCTGTTCGTGGTTTTCATTTCTTTTGAAGGTTTTGAACTGCTAATGGCATTATATTCTCGTCTCAAATTGTATAGTGGTGGTTTCTGTGGGAGCATGACTTTGTAGCCGTGCATTAACTTTGATCTTTTAATTTTTTATACTTTTGATCGTGACTATCAGATAGCTTAACGTTTTATGGACATTGTTAATTTCTATCCAGGAATTTTCTCCGGGTTCTAATGGCCGAACGGCAACAATGGGCGCGTATGTAATTGATTTGCTTCTTGGACAGGTTAGCCGTTACCAGCTTTTGTTTTTATACTTTTATCGACTCAGCCGTTAAATATTCTCGATTGGTTATTATTTTTTTGAATTTTTTCAGTACTACTTCGACACGCTTTTCCCCCGAATCCCAGTTCCAGTGATGCGAACTGTAGTAGCGAATCTCGAGAAAATGAAGCTGCCCACTAAACACTGCGGAGTCACGGGCGAGTCGACGCGTGGGTCGGAGGAGAGTGCTCGGAGACCACCTTCTGTCAAAGCATCACTTTCAGTCTCTTTCGGTCAACGGGCCCCACACCGTGCTTCCACTAGGGGCTCCTCTCCAGTCCGCCGCACCTCCACTCCATCTTACGATAGAGACGAAAACTCCAGAAGGTCGCCGAACACTCGTCGGAGCCATAGTCGTGATTTACCCGATCGAGATTATTCAGACAGGGATAGAGACAGAGATAGAGACAGAGATAGAGACAGGGATAGGGACAGAGATAGGGATAGAGACAGGGATAGGGACAGAGATAGAGACAGAGACAGAGATAGAGAGAGGAGGTACGATTATGACAGAAGGTCACGTGAGAGCTATAGAAAAGATTACGACAGAAGAGAAGGTAGTTCTCGTCGGAGCAGAAGCAGGAGTCGTAGCAGAAGTCGGAGCATACATGAAAACAGTAGACATGAGCAGAATATTCCTAGTACTTCAAGACATGAAAGCAAGGAAAAGACGTCTGCGTCCAGTAATTTAGCAAAGCTTAAGGATTTGTACGGTGATCTGGGTAGTCAGAAAAAGGACGGAGGCGAAGACAAGGGTGGTCCGAGCAAGCCTAGCGGTACCGAGGAGGTGATAAGGCTCGGTGGTTCTTCGTGGAGGTAATAGGGATTTTTCATTATTTTAAAAACGAAAGAAAATGCACTTTATTTATAATCCTCGTTATTTACTTTGGTTACTTTATATTTCGAACTCGATATCGTCATGGCTGATAAATGACGATGAATGTAATAGCCTTGATATGTAATGAATGAAGAGATTATTCGTGTATATTTTAAAAACCTTTTTATTCGATTTATTGCCTATTCGTTGAAATGGTTTGGGACAATGATTATTTACTGCAATGGTGATATATTCTCTTTCTCAATACGGGGTTGCTTTAGATGCTGCTATATTTGGTGAAATTCATCGAATAGTTTTTCGCCTTTGATTTGCACACAATCCACGACCGTTACTAGTCGCGAGTCTTTTGGTCTTCTTGGCACAAATTCTTGGGTTTTGAAAAAAAAAAAAAAGTTTTCGACGTTTCAATTGATCGAAATGAATCGCAATTTCGAAATACTCCACATCACAAATTAGTAAAAAAACACAAAATAATAAATGTATCCTTAAACACAATTACACAACCCAAGAACCAAATACTGCAGCAATGGCTCAAACTAAATAGCCTCTAGTTTGAGAAAAAATATTAAAAATTAAAAAACACAACTCTCAATACGACAATTGAGTTATTAATCGAAAAATAAAAATCCCGGTTTACTGCAATTAGTGCCTTTCTGTTATATCGAATTGCTAAAAAATTACCAATATTATTTTATCTGCAAAAGCCCCAAATGATTCAAAAAAAAAATCATAGGGGTATTTTTGCAAATAAAATAACAGTAGGGTAGTTTTTAGCAATCTGATATAAAACAGGGGTACGAATTGCAAAAAAACTCGTAAAAATCGTTGTAATTAGCAGATAGCACTGGTCTTCTTCCTATCAGCAACCATCTTCCTCCAAGCAGCAGTAATCTCCTTCTGCACCTCAATGGCAGTCTTCTTAACAACCTCATGGTGCTCTTCCTCAACCTTGAGCTTCTCCGTAACCCTAGACGGGAGCGTGTCGAGCTCGTGGAGTACCTTCTCGATGTCGGCGACGAGCCTCTCGGCGAGCGTCCTCGAAAAATCTTCTCGGACCACCACGCGAAGGACCGTGATGTGCTGCGCGTCCGCCGGCATGGTGTACGCCGGGACGATCCACCCGAATCGGCGGAGCATCTCGGAGATCTCGAACTCGTTGTGGCGGCTGTGGTCTTTCAGGCTGAACGCCACTAGCGGCACCCCCTCGTCTTTCGACACGATGGTGAATTTCCCCGTTTTCTCGAGGCCGTCCTTTAGGACCTTTGCGTTTTCTTGGCAGTTCTCCATTATGTTGCGGTATCCCTGCATTTGTTACGTATCCATTGATTAGTTTCTTGAATTTTGTTTTTATTGTTAATATTAATTACTATATGTTTTTCTTTTGATATAAATCGATAAATACAGGTAAACCTCTATACATTAATGCTGTCGGGACTAGCAAAATTTTATTAATTTAGCGAAATATTAAATTATCGAACTAATAATTAATAAGTAGGTTTTGACCGAGTCGGGATCGGAAGAAACTATTATTTAAGCGAGGTTATTAATTTATCGAGGTTCTACTGTATAGAGTTTATTGTATTTAGTACTTCTGTATTATGTCGAATTGCTAAAAACTACATCTATTGTTAATATTAACAAAACAACCCCTAGGTTGCATTTTTTTAGCATACAACCCTTAAATGGTGAGTTTTTAGGGGTAGCTTGCTAACAAAACTTAATTACAGGGCGTGTTTGCTAATATTAACAATAATAAAAATATGGTGTTGAAAAATTAGTGAGTAATTACCTCATAACCCAGGCGAATAAGTTGATAGTACTGAGCAATTATTTGACTAGAACCTGCAATACAAATATATATGTGTTAAAATTAGGTACGTAAATCGGGATCGGACGGAATTAGCCTTTTCAGATTTTTTTTTTTTTGAGAAGTGAAAAACTAGGTCTAATTCCGTTCCAAAAAAATGGGAGTTGGAATTTTGGAAATTGGAATAAAAAAATTTGTTCCAAAATCAGAAAATATGGGATCTAAATATGTGGAATTCGGAAATTTCTAATTTTTGATCACCTAAAATATAAAATACACAATAATGTTGGTATTTTAAGTGTAACATTCGAAGAAAAAAAAATCAGAATTTTCGGAACTTAAAATTGGATCGGGAAATCGGAAAATCTCGTATATATTCCAATTCCGATCCAAATAATTTCAGAAAATTCAGAACTCGGAATTTCGGATTGAAAAATATTGATCCAAAGTCGGAAATTTTCGAGAGAGAGAGATGTGAAAACAATGAATGACCTTTAGAGAAGTTGAGAGTGAAAGTAGGTTGATCAGTTCCAAGATAGTTAATGTGAAAGATGAGTTCATCAGGCAAGTCATCTTTAGTCCTCCAGACAACCCAACCAATACCGGCGTACACTAGCCCGTACTTATGCCCGCTCACGTTAATACTCTTCACCAACGGCAATCTGAAATCCCACTCCAGCTCCGGGTATAGAAATGGTGCAATGAACCCACCACTTGCTGCATCCACATGAATTGGAGTGTCCCATCTGCACACATATATATAAAATCGGAATAAATTAAACTTGTTCCGGAATCGGATTTTTTTTTTTTCGAATCGAAATTGGGCGGGAATCGGAAAATCCCATTCGTTTTTATTGGTCTATAATATAATATAAAAATTCGCAGTAATGTTGATTTTATAAATTAGATGTAAATTTTGAAACAAATTGGAGCATTTAAAGTTATTTTAGGAAATTAAAATCGGGCTAGAAAAAAATTGGAAAATCGGAATTTTGAATGAAAAATGTTATTCCAAAATTAAAAAAAAAAAATCGTATAGAAATCTATTAAATTCTGAAATTGCGAAATTGTGTTACTCCCTCCGTTTTTTAATTCTAAAATGTCACTTTAGTCGTATATATTTTTTCCCATATTAAGTGTCGTTTCAAAGTTTGAACCTGAATTATGAAAAATAGATTAATGAAACTAGAAAGATGAAAATCCACAAAGGGGTAGTTTGGTCAAATAACGAAAATTGCGCACATCTATCTTAAGCGATAACGAAAAAGAAAATGAAAACATCATACAAGAGTTAGACGTATAGTAAACGTACCCCGTTTCTTTATTCTTTTCGACGAGGAGATCATTGAGTCGTTTGACGTCTTCAAATTCTCCGTTAAGTGTGGACCCCAAGATAGCGGCCACGCAAATAGTGTTCTCATCAACCATCTCAACCGCCTTGTCGGGGTTCATCACGTAGTACCCTTCTTGAAGCTTCACCTCCTTGAGCTCCACTTCGAAATATCTCGCAAACTTCTCCCAACAAACTTGAACATTAGCACCGGTCACGATATTTGGCTTGTCGTACGGCTTACCGAGCGCTTTCATCTTGTTTTGCCATTTCCTCTTGAATGCCAATCCCGCGAGCATTATGGCTTCCGATGATCCGACAGTCCCCACACCTACGGCAGTCTCTTCTTCTTCGAGCGGCGCGTTGAATAGATGCGCGATTATGTTCACGCATCGATTCTGTTTTTTTTTAAAGAAAATATAGTTTTTTTAGTTATTAAAATTAAGAATATAAAAAGATAATTTAAAAAAATAAAATAAAGAATGCTTTCACTAAAGGGTTCTTTAGCATTTTTCTTGTTCTAATTATGATATATTATTAGTTACTTTATACCTTTAATTATCATTATCTTGAGAATAAATATTAATTATATTACCACTACTTGTTTGAAAAAGTTGGAGGCTAGCTATCAATGGCCACACTATTATTGCACTACGTATTAAAATAAAAATTATATATTTGACTTTTAATCATGGAGGGGTGGGACCACTAATTAAAAAAGAAACTATTTTATATAGATATTATTATTCTTTAAATAGGTAACACAAAATTCTACAAAACCTACAAAAATAAATACCTCCCCGGCCCCACCATCTCCAACTTTTTTTATGAGACAAATTTCAAAATCAAATATAAATATTTAAAAGATCTTTTTTATATAATAAAAGAAATTTGCAAGGAAAAAAAAGGTTAAATTTCTTTCACTGAAGGGTTCTTAATTGTTTAGTATTTTCCATGTGATCCAATTTTCATCTTTTGAGTTCTGCATAATAAAGATTTAGGGTAAATTACAATTGCCCCCGACCCCTGACGCAAGGTCTATTTATGAAAAAGAAACCCTTATTTTTGACAATTACGTTCAGACTCATGTAATTTGTAGATTTCTTACGATAACACCCTTGAATTTAAGAAATCTACAAACTGCAGATGACTAGATATAATTTCTAAAAAAGAATGTGTTTTTTGCAATTAAACTCTACACCAGGGAGGTGATCGCAATTTACTCTAAGATTTTGGGTAGTCGGCAGACACGACAAAATAATTACAAGTCAAAATAATTAAAAAACAATGAAAATATGAACCAATAAGAAAAGAATAATAATATCAAGAATTAAGTGAGGACAATTATTGATGCCCTTGGGGGTACCCTTGGTACAATACTTTGTAGCATACAATTATTGATAAAGTACAACCCCGCCACGTCCCCATCAATTAAACCAATCAGAACATGCGCTTGTCAGATAATAATATAATAATCATACAAATGAGAAATAATATTAATCGTCCAATATTTCAATATTTATATTCATTAATAATAACTAGGTATATATTCAATAAACATTTTTAAAAAATTATACATAAATAGTATACATATATTCTACGAATTGTAATCAATTAAATTATTTTATTTTATTTTCTTGATTAACTATATGAGGAGAAATTAATATATATGTATTTATTTATATTATTGGCTCAATTTAAACAACTAAAATATCCTATAATTAGTTATATTTAGTATTTTTCTTCCGAATCGACACAATAATTGGTTGAATTTTCTTTTCGATTTTGGGCATCATTTGGTGGTGCTTCATATTTTAATCTCCACCAACTTTATTTATTTTTCAAGAGATTTTCCTAACTTAATATACAAGACTCATTTTTATATTAATTAAATCTATATATAAAAAAAGCAAACATGAAGAAAAAAAGTTAGAGACTCTTGATGATATTAGAGTGTGTTTGGTCAATCTTATAAACGCTTAAGAAAAGCTTATAAGATATTAAAGATCTTAAAAAATATTTGGTAATTTTTTAAAAAATATTTTAAAACTTTAAAAAATAAGTTGATTGAGAGCTTTTAAGATCTTTTAAAAAAAAAATACTTTCACCCCATCTTTTATTTAACATCTTATATTAACTTACAATTTCATTATCAAGAAAAATTGAAATTTAACTCAAAAAATAACACATAACAGTCTATCAGATCTTAAAACAACTTATCAGATGTTAAAGTACATTAACCGTTTAAAAATAAGTTTCGCCAAACAGACCCTTAAATACTAACAATTCTCTAAATAGATCATAAAAATAATACACGTATAATCTATTTTAGAGTCCCGATTGACGATCACCTAAATATAAGGGTAAATTCTAAACTTATTCTTTTTCCCCATCTTAATTATTTCAAAAAAAAAATGCAAACTTATAAAATTAAAAACCATGACAAAATAATTGTAATATCATAGATAATTAATATTCAAGAAATTTGATATTATAACTAACATATATATGTAGAGAGATATAGAGAGATACACATATAGAGAGATATATAGAGAGAGACAGTGAGAGAGAGAGACAGTGAGAGAGAGAGAGAGAGAGATAGAGAGAGAGAGAGAGAGAGAGAGAGAGAGAGAGAGAGAGAGAGAGATGACCTGTAACTCAGTGGTGACAGGGTACTCATCCATGTCGACATAGTTTTTGTTAATGGAAGCCATAACAAGCTTATCGCACTCTGGTTCCATCCACGTGGTCACAAATGAGGCCAGATTCAGACGTGGGTTTCCGTCAAGCATCAGCTCGTCGTTTATTATCTGGTACGCTGCTTCCTTCGGTATCGAATTCTCCCCCATCTTAAACCTAATTTTTTTTAATTCAACACTTATTAATTCATTACTTAACAATTAATTAATTAATTAATCTTTTTAATTACTTACCTGGGAAGAGAATGCTTAACATATCGAGAAGCGAATGTGGAGTGAACGGACACGTCGCTTTGAGACACTGTCTTGGAGAGCACCATTGTGACCAACCAGAATGTTTTAGAGAGAGAAAGAGGAGAGAGAGAGGAGAGATAGATATTATTATGAATGAATGAATGAATGAATGACTAGTTTGATGAATTGTGAAGGCAAGCTGGGGTCAATTTATATAGTGAAATACAAGTGGGAGAAGTGGGGCCCACTTTTTTTTTTTTTAATAATTTAATTTGGTAGGGCATAGAAATTATTTAATTGGTGGAAAATTGCAAAACTAGGAGTTCAAGAGTTACGTGATTTGGGTCAGCCCATGTATTTATTGCGGTTAACTAGTCAATTCATTCGACGTGTTAGAAATGAAACATTTAATTGACTATATAATTCAAATTATTTGTGATTTAATTGTATGAATTTTGTTAACTTTGAAACCAAAATTTATAGGTGGATTATGTAATTCAGTCGATTATTTATTATTCTTCAGTCAAGTCAAGATGAGGTAGCCTTGGGGGTGGGAATCGGAATAGAATTTTCGAATTATATTTTGTCAATTTTGATTTCCGAAATTCTGATTTTAGTTCCGATATTTCTATGGTTTTTTAAAATATAGAATATAACTTTATGATATATTTTGTAATTTCATAAAACAATTTATGTTATATTCTATATAAATATAAATACGGAAGGGTCAGGTAAATTAAAACCTTAGAAAATATTAATTGTTATCAGAAACTTTGTATTGCAAATTTTCTTATAAGAAAATCTATGTATCAATTTGTTGGTTCTACATGTGTGTTTTTATTTATTGCATTTTGTTGACTTCTCTTGTGGATTTTCTTGCATTTCTCTGCAAAAAAAAATGCAAAAAATTGTGAAAATTCCCATAATATCCGAATTTGGAATAAGAGATTATAAATTAATGTATTTTCTGAAATTCCGAAGGCATTCCGAAATCGGAATGAATTTTTGCATTTCGATTTTTGGAACTGAAATTAGAATTCATTTTTTACTTCCGAATTTTTTGAAAGTTTTCCGAAAAATTCATTTCCGATCCATTCCATCCCATTTTCACCCCTAGCTAGGTAGTCTGTTGGTGGATTCAAGACACGAAGATGAGAATTGAGAAACCAGTAAAAAAAAACTGTTATTCTTCACTCATTTTACAATATCTTATTATGTGTATATGTATGTATAATTGGTATGGGGTTAGTCGTATTTGGTTGAGGTTGAATCGAATATTCGTATACAATGGAAATTCAAAGTTAATCAATAATAATAAAAAATAAAATAATAAAAAAAAAAGAAAAAAAAAAAGAAAAAAGAATGACAAGTGGGAAAATGGAGGGCAGGTTCCTGTATGATTGGGATTTCGGAGTGCCGCGTTCCCCGGTTATTACCAAGTCAAAAGATGTCGCCTATATTATTCTATATACATTATGCAAATATTTATTTATTTATTTTTATTTTTATTTTTATTTTTTGTTTTACAATCCCACTGTCTGAAAGCGCGTACAAATTAAAGTATAGAGACCGGAAATAAAAAGTGACAAAATTTCATTTTAAATTGAGACCATGTTTCTTTTACTCGATTGGCTATTTATTGGGTGAATCATGCATTTTCTTTTACCTACTACCTATAAGAGCATCTCCCACCCTTAGCACCATTTTTTCACCAAATCCTATTTTTGGTGGTGAGAAAATGGTGTTATCTCCCACCCGTAGCACACCATTCTATAATTTCTCTAATTTTAGTTACAAAATAGTGTATTTGATCTCCCACCAATTCCATCAAATTTTACACCAAATAATAAAATATTAATATTTCACCATTTTACCATTTATAGAGAATAGGATTTGGTTTGGTCTCCCATGCATTTCACCAAATATATTACAAATTTATAATTTTAATGTTAATTGTAAATTTAGTCTATTTTATTACCAAAATATTGATTATGAATTTGATCTTAAACAATGATTTTATTAAGTATATAATTTAAAATTATGATAAATATCAAAAATTTATTGAAACATAAATGAAAATCGACTTAGATTATTATACATATAATAAAACCACGAATAAACAATAATTTTATTAATTATTTCCTAAAAACCTTACAACATAAATCAATCATAAAAACATTACAACATAAGTTAATTATAAAAACATTACAGCCAAAAAAAATTATTTCATTGATAACAGGGGCATCGTTAAAACCTTGTTTGGCCTAATAAGGAAAGAGTACCCCTTATTAGCAGATGAGTCTCATTCACTATTATTATCGTTATCATCTTCAACATTATGTATTTGATCATGTTTATCCCACAAATGTGCTATCAATCTTCTCCTTAGTTCATTAAGCTCTCCTAGATTTATCAGATTTCGACGTCGACTAAGAAAATTAACATATTTTGTATTATCTAAATCTCTTGAAAGCTTAGAAGGCGGGACAGTGGATGATAATAATAATAATAATAATAATAATAATAATAATAATAATAATAATAATAATAATAATAATAATAATAATAATAATAATAATAATAATAATAATATTAATAATAATAATAATAATAATAATAATAATAATAATAATAATAATAATAATAATAATAATAATAATAATAATAATAATAATAATAATAATAATAATAATAATAATAATAATAATAATAATAATTGTATCTTAAATTTTGAAAACTAATTCACTAATTAACACTAATATATTTACTATAAATATATTTATAAGTTGATAATCACATGAAATTAGTTAATATAATAATTGTATATGCTAATTATAAAATGGTGTTAATTACACCAAATCCTATTTTCACTTCTATATTTGATAGAAAAAATAGGATTTGGTGGAAAAACTGGTAAAATGGTGGACGGGTGGGAGATGAAAATTTCTTCACCAAAAAATTTGCTGAAAATATAGGATTTAGGGATATGGTGATATAGAGTTTGACCAGGGTGGGAGACTAAACTAAATCACTATAATTTTAGGTGTAATGGTGATTTAGAGATTTAGGTTGGGAGACTAAAAACACCTAAATTAGGTGATAATTATAGGATTTGGTGATGGGTGGGAGATACTCTAAAGGGCACGATCGGTATGCATGAATAAATGAATAATTAACGTATGAATAGAAGTCGATTATTGAAATGAAATGGTAATGGGGAATGAATATATTATACCATTTCCTATGTTTGGTATCCACAATGAATAATGAAGGTGATGTTATATAATTAATTCGACTTATGAGGGCTAATTACAGTTATTACATGGATTAAAAACAGTTATTTATATATCCAGTTAGTTTAGCCTATAAGGCGTAATTTCAATTATCCAATGAATTAATTTGGTAAATTAGGCTTAAATTTAATTGTTCATGGACTATTGGAGTCAAAAGTTAAATGAAGCCCATTAAGTGTGAAGTTTTAAAGGATTGGGAGTAATTTTGTGCATTAAGTTTGCCTTTATTTACAATATATATTAAAAGATGGTTGGTGAGGCTAGGGGTGTGAACGAGTCGAGCTTGCCTCTTTTGGCTGGCTCGAGCTCGAGCTCGAGTCTATTTTGTCGACCTCGAGCTCGAGCTCGTGTCAATTTTGTCGAGCTCGAGCTCGAGCCCAAGCTCTTTTTTTTTTAAATATTCTTTTAATTATTAAAAATTATTTTAAAAAATACAAAATAAAAACTAAACTATATATTTTTAATATTTGTATTTATTTCTATAATATTTTATATTATTATACATTATTTAAATAAAAATAATATATCAAGATAATAATAATAATAATAATAATAATAATAATAATAATAATAATAAAAAAAAAAAATAAGGCTCGCGAGCTCATGAACAACTAAAAACCGGCTAGAGCTCGGCTCGTCAGAAAGCTCGAGCTCGAAAACCTCGAGTCCGAGTTCGAGCTTTTTACGAGCCGGCTCACAAGTCGGCTCGGCTCGTTTACCACCCCTAGGTGAGGCACCTCCTTACAAAACCCCATTTTATAAAGAATAAATTTAAATGCGTTTTTCGTTTTTTTTTTTTTTTTTTTTTTTTTTACCATAATCCAAATCGAATCATATAAATAAAAAGGAAAAATTAGAGAAAACCCCCCACCTAGGATATATAGTTAAGGAAACACCCCCTCCCAAAAGTAATTAGACAAAACCCCCTTAGCTAATATTCCATGTGATATTTTTATAATTCCAAAACAACCCTTAGTTGTCTATTATACTCTTTCAAAACCCTAATCTTATGTTTAATTTTTCATCCGCCGCTTTTACGTTTCTAGCTTTTCTCTCTTCTCTGTTTTCTCTCCTCTGTTTTTTTTTCTCTGTTTTTTCCAGCAATCTTCTCCGCCACTACCCTCGCCGTCGCCGGAAGATAGGGAAAGAAAGAAAAGGAAGCACCCATTAAACATTATAAATGATTTTGATAGTGTTTCTGAATTCGAATGCTAGGATTGCTACATCTACAGCGAAAAGAGGTAAAATTGTCGATTTGTCGCCGAATCGGATTTTGATGGGTGGTAGTTTTGCTTTGGTTGGTGGTGCGAGTTGTGATTTTATTTATTTATTTGTAATAAAAAAACCGTCATAGTATCAAAGTAAGGTGGTGATGGTGTGTTGTGGCGACGGTGTGATGACGATGAGGAGGCAGCAGATTTAGGGTTTTTTGGTGGATCGGGCGGAGGACGGCGCGTATAGAGAATTTTGCGCAGGCTGAAACCTTAATCGACTATGTACATGTTCATAGTCGATTAAACTAATCAACTATGCTCTAGCAGTCGATTAAATGCTTCATTGACTCCAATTTTATTTTATTTTTTTGAATTTTTTGTTTATTGATTCCAATTGTATAAATCAATTATAATGTTTGTATATTGTTTGTTTTTGTAAAATATAGTTGAGTTTGCATTTTTGTAGTTGTGATTTGTTATTTTTAGTAGTCGATTCGTTAATCGACTATAGTTCATCATAGTCGATTTAATATGCCTCATTATCGATTAATATACATGATAGAGAAAAAAAGTTAAAAAATAAAAAAATTAAAAAATAAAACAAAATTTAAAAAAAAAAATTAAAAAAAAAATATTTTTTTTTTAATAATAATAATAAATTATTATTAATAATAAAATAATAATAATAATAATATGTAAAAAAATAAAAAATAAAAAGAGAGAAAGACACGGCTGATGGGTCATGGGGATAGTGTGTAGGTGGAGGGACATAAATTGAAAAATAGGT